ATATATTCCTTTGTGTTCAGCAGAACAAATAAACACATAGATGTTTGGAACAACATGAGGGTGAGTAAATACTGACAGAATTTTCATTTTTGGGTGAACTAACCCTTTAAGACACTGTTGCTTAATCTATCATTATTAATTCATATTCTAGTGCTATAATTGTTCTAATTGTTTGAGTATCAATTGGTTGTTGTTAGTTCCCTGAGGTCCTGGCCACCTAACTGCATACTTTCTGCTTGAAACCTCTAAATTGTAAGCAAATAAAGACCATTATTGTTATTATTTCCCCAATGAGGAATTCAAGTTGCTCTGTGTATCATTTACTTAAACCATTATAATGGCTGGGTTGGTTAACTTTCCAAGCAAATCATTGCCATATGACACAGTGGCCATATCATTGCAAGATGGGCAACTTTAGGTGCAGGGTATAAAGTTTCATTGCTGTTATTGAGTATTCAAGCCGAAGGTTCACATGTGTGTCTGTTTAAACAATGACCCTGTCACCAATGGCTGGAAGACATAGCTCTCTCTGTTAGACTGTCTGTGATGATGAGGGTTACTCTCTGAAAAAAATGTTGATTTAGCATGACTTAGAATAGTGATCTAGTGGACAGAAGAAAGTGTTGAGCTCTCTCACGGTTAATTTGGCATCATTTTAAGATGGGCTATGAAAAAATAAAAGATGCGTTTTCTGAAAACATGATTGTTTCTCTCTCATGTAAAATTAAACTATCAATTTTATGGTGTTCTGGTTGCTTCCTCTGCGGTGTCTTATGGGTCAAAAGAGCATGACCCCAAGGTTGTTCTGGGTGACTGCTAGGGCTGGCAGATGAAAATCCTTAGTAGTGACGCTCGTCTTAACAAAACCAGCCAATATAGGATCAGTCTGTGTATTTGTACTTTAAGAGGTTGAGAATTGTGCAGGGCTGGTGAATCTGTGTGTGTCTCTGTTTAAGAATATGAGAAGGTGATTTTGAACGACCACAGCTTCAGGCAGAAAAAAAAAACAAAAAACAATTGACATATGAGACAAATAAATAGCCAAACAAGGAAAGGGACATGGAGAGGAGGAGTACAACTAGTCTCTCAGTCTTTATGCTATATAGAAAATCCTAGTGTTGGCTGATTGCTTCCACATGCTACTAAACACACAGACTGAAGAGATGGGGAGCAGACTTTCAATGTGTGCATATATGAATGTTCCCATTAAGAGAGGTCTCTGAGACTCTATTAATCTCACACTATGTCGCAGGCAGCTTGGATGTCTGGTGGCTTCATCTGTTTTGACCAATTGGGATGAATCAATTTGCTTGCTTTATTGGGAGACTTCTCTTATGCAGCAGCTAAGGCATGTAGGAAATATCTAGCCTGCCATTTGGCACTAGGATTTTGATTGCAATCTCGAATTGTGACTCATTTTACCATCAGCATCAGGTTGACAAAGGGAATAGAAATATTTAATGATTCAATATGTATTCCATTTGGCTGGAAAATAATGTTCTTGCATTGCTAATGTAATAGCACTTTAGTTGGATGAAATAAAATTTAAGGAAGCAATTTATCTTTTATTTTACTTCAAATGGAGACAGATAATGGACCTTAAAAGGTCAAATTTACCTCATCATTATTGTCCCCCAAAGAGTGCAGTGATTTTAATAGATAATAGATCTTCCAGGCTGGAAGGATTTTTGAATAATACTTGATGTATAGTTTTTTTTTTTTTTTTTTTTAATGTAACTTATCTTTGCCTTTTAAGTAATTTTATTTCAATCAAAAAGAAGAACATAATGTTCTTTGGAAAATACTGCATTTAATAAATTCTACTTTTTCATGCAAATCTCAAAAAGAGGAATGTATTAGGTATTACGACGTTAAAATGACAGACGATGGTCTGTAATGTGTATCTGTATGTACATATGAATGTGCATTATATGTTTGTGTGTGTATATGTACTTTTACATATGTATATATTGGCATTTATCATTATTGTTTATTTACTTATTGTTTTATTATTATTATTATTTATGTACTTTATTTTCTTGTTACTTATATGCTGGCATTGGGTGGGGGGGTTGTAAAAATGTAAAAAGCTTTAAATAAAATATAAAAAAAACAAAAATGACAGACGATGTACAAGGAAGGAAGCTCTGCGTCAGACTCACAATGGCCTTTAACACAATAACAATCTCTGCTACACCATTAAACCATGTTCAGACTCAAGCACTAGATGTTTAAACAGATTATTGGTTTAATGGGTAACATTGCCGTTGACTAAAGAACTTTTGTAACTTAAATAAGCATTATTCTAATGTATAATGTTTGCAGCGCAGACTGTAGAACTTAATTCAATGTCTGTAAATGTCCTACCTGTTAGACAGGAATGTCCAGACATTTTTATCCAGACATCAATGGCTTATTGATCACTGGTGTTATTAATCATTTAGTTGTTGTTTGCTAGTTTGAGTTGAGAAATACACATCCCAGCATTATCACTAATCTGTGTGTGCACATTTTCCTTGAGAACCAAGCAAGTTTACTCATGAAACCAAACCATATTGCATTTCGCAATCGCAATATTGACCGCAATCATCCGAATATGACATTTTCCCCAAATCGTGCAGCCCTAGTCTTGTCGATGTTTTGGGGCTCATTTTGTTTTGACAGTTCCTGTGTTTGCTGTGTTTTGATATTTATATTCTAAAATAACTGCATTTGGATCCAGCTCTCCTTTGTTTTGAGATCACTCTGCATTACATTTAGCCTATACACTACCTTTCAAAAAATAATATATTGTTTTGTTTTTGAAAGAAGTCTCTAATTGCATGGGTGCATTTGTTTGATCCAAAAGTAAATATGATACAATTGTGAAATATTATTACAATTTAAAATGATAATTTTCCACTATATTTTAAATTTTAATTTACTTTGTATTTATATGCTGGCAACACTGAATTTTCAGCAACTTAATTCTATCCAATACCTAAACTTTAGCAACAACCTTACTAACATAAGCAATAATAAGCAGTAAATAGGAGTTTATTGAGGTGAGTGAGAATTGGACCCTGATCTAAAGTGTGACCGTAATATTATTATATTTAAATGACATAATACAACAAAACAGCTGATATCAAACATTCAATTACTGTAATGCATTCAGATTTAAAATATGATTTTCAAATATATATTTTTCGATGTTGGTATCTTTCAGCTTTCATGAAGCTGGGAAGCCTAACAGATTTGTCTCAGTTTGACCATCAGGACTTTAATTGTTATTTGTTTGAAGCTTAAGTAATTTCCAGTATATACTGTTGTAAAGTTATGAACATGATCGGTGGAGTTCATTAGCATATTGCTGTACATGTATTGGTGAAACATTCCTGTGACATTTCAATGGGTAAAAACTACGCTACATCTAGTTAAGTGTGTTTCGGTTAGACAGAAAACCATGAGAACTGTGTTATGCATGAGATAGTTGAGAAAAAAAAAAAAGAGATGAGCCTCTCTGCCCTTTGTTCCCAGGACCATTCTTATCCGAGTCCTACTGTGTGTATGAGGAATTGCAGCAGATTTCTCTTGATTCATAGAGCAATTACATTTTTCATTCCCCATTCGGCGTGTTATCTCCTAAACTCTTTCTTTTCTAATGGATTCTATTTTGGAGGAATGACTGAATACATGGATAAAATCATTTTCTATTTGTTGCCGGGCTCCATATGGACCAAAGAACTATTATTCACTTCACATCTGTGTTTCCAGAACTCATTTTACATTTTGAATAGTTGGTTTGGTAAATGATGTAAATGGATTTTCTTTAAAAATCGTATTTATTATGGACATTGCAGTTTTTGTCACAAAACCACCTCAAGTTTTTCATCAAAATCACATTAACAAATGAATAACGTGTAAATTAAACAAAATGAAAAACTACATATTGCTTTGTCCTTGTGATCTTTCCTGTCTGTACAGTATCTCAGATGTTACTTCAGAAAACTCATTACTTTGGTAATGAGAGACCAAATATCCTGTGGTTCTTCATTAATGGATTGGTACCTAAAATAAGAAGTCTCCTCTTCAAACAATGTCTCGCATCAGTGACTTCAAAGCCATATTTTCAATTTTAAAATACTTATACCATCTCAATATGCAGACACAACTACATTGAACAAAATTATAAATGCTTTTGATTTTACCCCCATTTTTCATGAGCTTAACTCAAGGATCTAAGACTTTTTCTATGTGCACAAAAGGCCTATTTCTCTCAAATATTTTTCACAAATCTGTCTAAATCTGTGTTAGTGACTGCATGATTATTGCACAGGTGTGCCGTAGGCTGGCCAGAATAAAAGGCCAACGTTGGTTATGGTTACGAACTGCAGTCAGGTCGAGACCCCGATGAGGACGACGAAACTCATGCAGATGAGCGTCCATGAGACAGTTTGTACAGAAATTTCTGTTTCTGACAGTTTGCACAGAAATGATTTGGAGTTGCAGCAGGTCTCCGGGTGGCAGGTCTCAGACGATCTTGGAGGTTAAGATGCTGGATGTGGAGGTCCTGGGCTGGTGTGGTGTGGTTACACGTGGTCTGCGGTTGTGAGGCCGGTTGGATGTACTTATGCTTAGGCTTATGTTAGAGAAATCAACATTCAACATACTGTACCTTCCAATACAGTAAAACTGCACATTTTAAAGTGGCATTTTATTGTGGCCACCCTAAGGCACACCTGTGCAATAATAATGTTGTCTAATCAGCATCTTGATATGCCACATCTGTCAGGTGGATGGATTATCTCGGCAAAAGGAGAAGTGCTCACTAACACAAATTTAGACAGATTCTTGAAAGGTATTGAGAGAAATAGGCATTTTCTGTACAAAGAAAAGAACTTTGAGTTCAGCTCATGAAAAATAAATGGGGGCAAAAACAAAAGTGTGGAATTTATAATTGTGTTCAGTTTATTAATGTTTACAATTTGTATAATGTTTTTTTTTATAATTCGAGCAAGGCGAGGCCGAGAGCCTTGGGAACGGAGCGGACTGGTCTGGAGTCTCACGGAAGGAGATCCGGCAGGATAAATGGAGGAGTAAATACAGTGCAAGACGTGAGAGGACCAGGCCTGGACTTTATGTTATGTTTTTTTATTTATTTTATTTTTTTTTACTTTCGTATTGTTGATCTTTCATTGTTCATTTTGATCATTAACATTATGCTGAATGTTCGCCCCCTTCTTCCCTGAGACTTTAACTTTGCTACAATTCATTTTGCTTGTGTTAACCATATAGTTCTCAAATCTCATTTGCAGTAAAAAGGATTTTCAAAATGATAAAAAATGATTTTGGTCTCTTCCAAAGTGTTCATGGCTTCTTCTTTTTTCAGCTTGACAGCTTGCATGCCTTGCGCTATGGGCATTTCTCAAACAATCTGCTTCTGTGTTACAGAAGAAAGAAAGAAAGTCATACAGGTTTGGAAAAACATGAGAGTGAGTAATTGATGGCAGGTTTTTTATTGCCAGGTAGCCATAGTGCATAATTTAGCTGAAAGGGATAGTTCACCCAGTTGTTGATAGTTCAAATCCATAGTATTTCCCCCCCTTATGGAAGTCAATAGGGCCTGTTTCTGACATTCTTCAAAATATCTTCTTTTGTGTTCAGCAGAAGAAATAAATTCATACAAGTTTGGAACAACTTGAAGGTTGGTAAATGATGACAGAATTAATTTTTTTTAGTGGACTGTCCCTTTTAAGTAGCTTTTTTCATTGTGATTTAACATCCTCAACGTGTTATTTCCAATTTAGAACCAATTTCCTTGAAGCATAGAGTAATTACTGAGTTTTTGAATATGAAAAGTTCTGCCTTAAAATATATTCTACACCTTTCATGCCATGAGCATACAAATTACATGTTATATTTTTCACTCCACTGGATAACCAAGGCCATTTTCATTAAGCATAGGATGAAGTGAACCATTTGGCTGCTTGATGCTTGTGAAGCTAAAAGTAGATTCAAGGCATCGTGATCTAACGTAGCCATCTGTAGTGAAGAGGCACAGCGCTCATATCTCAGAGCTGTCCTTTGGCTGTCTAACACATCTCATTATTGTTTGTATATAAGCTACTGTGTGTTTATGGTCTGTTATCCAAGCGCAGCTGCCAAGTTGCATCATTGATGTCCAGATGGTTCAGACTCAGATGTTCACTGTCTTACTGGTACAGACTGACTGTCATACGCCATGTGTGAAAATTCTGGGTTGCTCACTCTTTTTTTTCCTCAAGAGAAAGGGCGATAGTTAGATATTTAACTTTTTCCTCATCAGCAAACAATGATCCAATATACACAGAATATAATAACTCAAACAAAGTTTAGCTGGATGATTTAATCTAATCCATTTTGTTTGGCAAGTAGCAAAATGGCTTTGAAATAATATTAACCTTGTTTATGCTGTAAGGACTTCTAAAATTGTTTTTAATTTGGCCTTTAAAATTGGCCTTTTGAACATAGCTGAAAAATTGCTTGTGGCAGTTCAGTGAGGGAGGTAATTGTGAAATTGAACGATACTCTAAGTCTGATTCAAACCGCTAACTCAAGCCAGTTCAAGGCCGCCTCATGCATTCTTTTGACAGACTTATTAATAAGAACCATATTGTAATAATTTGTCAGAGAATCAGAAATCAAGACTTGTACACAATATACATGACGATATCCAACTAAACCACAAGTTGTCGAGATTGTTGTCAATAATGACAAGATTTTTAATTACTTATAAACCAAGTGTGAAAAATTTCCAGAGGTTTCATTATTAGATTTTTAACAAAAATGATATTTGGACCACAGGTGGGGTAAAAGGCCCCAATTCTGAAAAAAAAGTTATTCGCATTATATATTTACAACAAAATCAGAGTTCAAGCAGTTTTAGCTTAAAATAAAATAGGCAACATATAAAAATGTATATTTATTAATGAAACATGCTGGAAATCAGCCTATTTGAAAAATATTGTTAGCTGATGCTAACTCTCTAACTATCTATCTAGCTGATGCTAACTTGGGTTAATTTTTGAATATAAGTCCAAATATGTTTATTCAATCAATTAGTTAGATTGCATTTGATGGAAGAACAAAGGATGCAATGTTCAGACCATGGTAACTACATAGTTGAAAGCTTGCTATTTTACCTTAAGGTGCTGAGGGAGTTTTACCCCACAGACTAGGTTTGGAAAATTTTGTCATTCTAAAATATAAGTATATTTACCTTAAATGACATGTAAGGCCTAACTACAGGCCTTTCTATTCTCATATCATATATAACTGATGTTCTGCAAAACAACAAGTTTTAAAACACATTTTTTTCTTAAAGAAGTAGTTCACATAAAAAAAAAAAAACTTTTGCTGATAACTTACTCACCCCCATGTCATCCAAGATGTCTATTTCTTTCTTTCTTCAGTCGAAAAGAAATGTAGGTTTTTGATGAAAACATTCCAGGATTTTCTCCATATAATGGACTTCATTGGGAACCAAACGGTTCAAGGTCCAAATGACAGTTTCAGTGCAGCTTCAAAGGGCTTTAAACGACACCAGACGATGTCGTTTTCTTAGTTTCTTGCCAGTGTGCTTGTGTTTGCTCACATGAACCATTCAGTCAATTCAGTCAGATTTTATTAATTCCAATTGAATTATTTCTTTTGTTAATTTCTCTCAGCTTTGGACATCAATTTCCTGACTCTGGTTCTTAACCTTCCTGTAAGCCAGCTTTGTTGCTGAACAGTACATTTGAGTGCGACCACCGCACGCTATTTTGGTATTCCATTTTTATTGCCTGCCTGGTCTTGATCTTCTTGTTTGTCTGACTCATCTAATCATTCGTTCCTGGAACTGCATATGTGTCTGCTGATTAAAACTCAGACCTGTTTGATCTTCAACCTGAGTTGTTCATGGAGCCTGCTGGGTGTTTTTGTCCAAGAGTAGGCTATCAGTGTTTGCCAGTTTAACATTCTTCTGCTCTTGGGTCTTTTTTTTAATTGAACGTGACACAAACAGCAACACCAAAAAAAGTTTAAAATGTAAAAAAATCACAATAGGTCCTGTTTAAGGCCCTGTTTACACTTGGTATTAAGATGACAAGTAGCATTCATGCACTACTTCTTCAGTAAATCGCTGAACCATTTCAAGTTTTGCAACTTTTGTTTTCTGCCTGCGATAACTATGAGTAAAACATCACTTCATCATTGTGACACTGCTACCTAGAATAAAGGTGAATTGCACTTACTGTATTCAGTCATCAATGACTACGTTTACATTGCAGCCAATTTTCGGGTTATTTTCGGGTCGGGTTAAGGTCACTATTTGGGTTATTGACTGCATGTACAGTAAATGTAGTCATTGTTACACACCTTGGGTCATTAGCGACCCTATACAATTTTTTTACAAAAAATTAATGGGACGTATTCGTTCGAATGCGTTTTCCGACTACCTCTGGAAGTGGTCAAAAATGGACAAGCTCAAAATGTTTTTTGACATCGTTTACACCCGTGTTTAGCATTGCCACTTGTGATCTCAAAATAACACAGTCTTATCCCAAGAAGTCATATAACTGACGTCTTGGGACGTCTTTTGACCATACGTTAACATCCGCCTTTTTAGGGTACCCTTAAACGTCGGTTACATGACGATCCCGGGACGTCATTCAACTGACACTTTACCTTTAACGTCGGTTAGGTGACGGGGTAGGTTTACGTCTGGGGTTGGGTTAGGATCCGATAACGTCATCTAACCGATGTTTAAGGGTACCCTAAAAAGACGGATGTTGACGTATGGTCACAAGACGTCCCAAGATGTCAGATATGTGACTTCTTGGGATGAGACTGTGTTTGTCTAGACACTAACCGTGCGTCGCCGTTTACATCGGGATACTGCAATTCAATTATTGTGGTTGGTTGTACTTTTTTTTTTTCTCACTGGTCCTGCCAAGAGATTATATCAAAATTTGGATTAATTGAGATGTGAAATGAGTTAATCTTTCAAATGTTCATCATACAGGTCAGAAATGATGACTGCATACCTGCTCCCAAAATAATCCCTAAAAACATTGACATTCAACACAAATCCACTGCGTCCTATCCTTAAACTCCCACAAGGAGTCAGTTTATTTCTCTTTTCCTTTTACACTTAATTTCTTGCTGTATTAAACTCACCTACAACATTTCTTTCCCCTAGACTTACCAAATTACCACACTAGCACAGAAACAACTCAGTCCCTGTTCCCATGGTAGCCATAACATGCAAGCTTGCAGGTTGTTAACAGCCATTATAGTGACCAACCACCTCATTTTACAGGGTCTCGGATTTTTCACAGCTCTGTTGTGCAGATTATGTTTAACACTGTGCTGCTAATGCGTGCCTGCAGATACGGGAACTAGCTTTTACTGGCCATTAGGTTTCTTTTCCGGAACTAGAAATTTCTGTTCTACAAAGACAAAAAAAAAAAAAAAAGTGACAACCATACTTTCTCCAAATCCATTGACTTTCATGAACTTCCAAATAATACATTTCCAAACAAATGTTCAGATTATAAGTTAATCTCATATAAACCCCTTTTTCCAGGTTCTCAATTATACACAAACACACACTGTTTAACATTATAAACCACTTCTAAACCTGTACACATCAGACCTTTGACATTTCAGTTATTTGATTTAAATGATAAAGTAGAAGAGGCAAGGTTTGTTTATATGAACGACCAGTCATAGCAAGACCATCAAATGTGTTTATTTATTTTTAATCAGCATATGTGTTTACTGTGCCTTTGTGCTGAACTCAGAATGTAATTGATAAAATGTGTACTTATACACTGTTCATTATGATTTGTCTTTGAAAGAATGGCAACATGTCCCCACCAGATTTTTGTTTGTGTTATGTTTCTTTTTTTATAAATGACATAAAACTTCAAAAGGAAAGCTTGAGTGGATTTAATCAGCATAATAAAGTTTTTTATTTTCACCATTAACATATGGGGTAAAAACACAAGGGTGGAATAAATTAGTGACTGTGAAGGCAAAGAAACTGTAACCCCAGTAAACCATGAGCTGCACGGGGGCTGAATGGCCATAAATGTGTCTAAGCT